CAGGTTCTTTATTATTCTTAACGGGCTTTTACACCATTAAATTGAACTTATAGGGCAAGTTAAATATTTGTCCGGTCGGCCAAATATAATTGCATCCGCCAGTCAAATATATATAAAATATGTAATTATACATTAATATACAAAATATGGAGTATATATTTTGACGACTATTTTTTTTTGGCAGCGGCTATACTGTGTAGTTTTTCCAAACGGGCAAGTCATACATTTGGCTGGCCAGCCAAAAATAATTACATTCGCTAGCCAAATATAAAAAAATATGTATAAAAAATATGTGTATTATAATATACAAAAAGTATATAGCTTGCCCAAAGCATTATATATAGGAATTTTAGGTCCATTGCTATCCCTAATAGAAAAGAGCCTATAAAATTACAGGGAAGAGCTAACTCAATTATGTTTTGTAGATGACCTTTTGATATTTTCCAGGGGAGATGTTACTTCAGTGACTAGGTTCTTAACTGTTTCAATCAGTTCTCAACAGCTTCAGGATTGCAGGCAAATATAGGGAAGAGCTCAATTTATTTTGGAGGGGTAACACAGAATGATCAATAACAGATACTGAAGAAGCTGGGATTCACAAAAGGAATGCTACCTTTCAAGTATCTGGGAGTTCCATTATCAACCAAAAAGTTAACAATGATGCAGTGGAAGCCCCTCATTGAGAAGATTGTAGCAAGAATCACATCAAGGACAACAAAAAAATTGTCTTATGCAGGAAGGAGCCAACTGATAAGCAGTGTTTTATTTGGTGTACAATCCTACTGGGATCAATTGTTTATCCTACCAGCAAAGGTGATGAAAGCAGTGGAAAGTTTCTGTAGAAGCTATCTATGGACGGGCAACAATGTCATCACAAAAAAGCACTGATCAGTTGGGAGAGAGTCTGCTGCCCTAAAAGCAGTGGAGGATGGAACTTAATAAACCTGAGAATATGGAACATGGCTGCTATTATCAAATTATACTGGGATTTGGCAAGGAAAGAAGATAGGATTTGGATAAGGTGGATTCATGCATATTACATAAAAGGGCGCCAGTTGGAGCATTTAATAGTTCCAAAACAAGCAAGCTGGATGGTGAGGAAAATAATGGAAACAAAGAATATACTAGCACATGATAGTATACATATTTGCAGGGAAAAGGGTGTCATTAAGCAAATATACCTTCATCTACGGGGAGATCAACCCAGAATGCCATGGAAATGCTTGATGTTTGGGAATATTGCAAGACCAAAAGCAAAGTTCACTGTATGGCTGCAAATACAGAACAGACTACTGACTGCTGATAGGTTGAATAAATGGGGCATGATGATTGAGACCAAATGCAGTTTATGCCAGAAAGCAGAGGAAACAAGAGACCATCTATTTGTGGAATGTGAATATACAAAATCAGTGATGCATAAGCTAATGAGTTGGACACAAAATCAAAGCATAGTAGCAGATAGCTGGGAGCAACATGTGCAGCATGTGATCAGACGAGCCAAAGGCAAGTCAAAAGAAGGCCAACTATTCAAGATGTTATACTCAGAGTTAGTACATTATATATGGATAGAGAGGAACAGAAGGATTTTTGAGAAGATAAGTATTGGATGTAAGAGAATAGCCAAAGAAATCGCATGTGTTTGTTGTGTGCGAGCTCCTCCTAGAATAGCAGATATAGTTCAAAAATACAAGTTTTAGAATAGGAAGCTAGGAAGAGAAAGAGTATACTGTAAATATGATAGTTAGCTGTGTTAGCTAACTATGGTACCTTGTATAGTTTACAATAATGATGATTAATAAAAAGTTAGTTACCAAAAAAAGTGCCCGTAAAAAGTATAGTATGATAAGTCTCAAATTGGGAGAATTTTGTGATTAGTCTTTGAATACAGAGAGAATACCAAAAAAGGACTAATATTCACTTCAATAATCGATTATTCAAATATACCAAATTGAAGGTAAAGTGACAGAAAAAGAGACAAATAGATAATTAGGCATGGAGAAAGAGACACATAGGAGTAGATAATTAGGCATTATATGTCCATCTATCCTCAATAGATATTTGCTTCAATTTTTCTTTTATACATAATTAAACATTGAAATTTAGTTACCATTAGAAATCAACTCTTTATCTTCATTCATGAATCATTTACCCATCCATGTTCAGTTGAAGGTTAAGAATAAGAAAAGGTTGGTTTGAAGCTTTAAAAAAATGGAGTTAATTGGTCGAGAAATCTTTACATAAAAATGTTAGAAAGGAAAAGACAGAATTAAGTTTGATTTCCTCTCTGGTTTACTATAGCGACAAAGAATCAAATTATCATTTAATTTTTTATTTATTTAAAATTACTCATCTCCCAAGTGCGTGCAGTATAACCCTAGGGTTGTAGTTTTTTTTCTCTCTCTACCAAGGGCGGCCCGATAAATTTTGTGGCCTAAAGCCAAACTTTATGAGGGGTTTTAACTTTTTAAATTTTCTTATTATTTATTTGAAATCTACTTTTTTTAGCTTTTCTTAGATACAAAGTGTATTTGTTAAAGAAAGAAATCAAAAAAATTCACTTTACAGAACCCTTTTTAAGCTTATACATAATCTATTAAGTATAACAAAAGATGAGCTCCACAAATATGGAGCTTAAAGCGATTGCTTTATTTGTTTTATGGAAGGGGCGCCTCCTTTACTACATGATGCTTATCTAGTCAAAGACTAATTATATCTAACTCTAGTCAAATTAATTTATAGTTCACCTCTGAAATCATCTATGCAAAATATGTTTTTATATGTTTTTCTTTGTCTGCCCCTTCAAAAATTAAACGAGAATATTTTTGTTATCTAATTTCCCCTAATTATTCCCGCATTTTTTTTTTCAAAGATAAGGATATATATGCAATGCAAAAGGCAGCAATAGGTTTCTCTCTTTTTTCCTGCTTACAGCTTGTTTGGATGGTTGTTACATATCGTTTCATAATGTATCGTATCGTATTTTATTGTATTGTACTGTATCGTTTGATGAATATAATATTTGGATGGATTGTGCCGTTTTGCCGTCGTTTCATGGTATCATGCACCAATAATATGATGAATAAACTTGCAATATTATAAAGAAAAATTATGAGATAGTATATAAAAAGGTAGGGTAAATGATAAAATAAAATTATTTAATAATAATGAAGGGTGAGATTGAGAGAAAAACATAAGGAAACGACGCGATCATACCAAATCGATCGTTACATAAAGTGGCACATTTCATCGTTACGTAACGACGGATTTAACGATACGATGCAATAAAATTTAAGTAACAATCAAAACAAACATTGTATCTAAAGTAACAATACGATACGATACAACTGGTAACAACCATCCAAACAAGCTATTAAAGACTATTTTATTTTTTGCCTCTTCCCTTATTCCTTTTTTCCGCACTATATTTGGCCGCAGAAAGAGCTCTATGCAGAGGGAAACTTATATACTAACAATGTAAAGAACTTTTTTACCATCAGTGCATTTTAATTATTATAGCAGATAATCTGCCTTATTATTTTCATGTTATTAATGTAACTTTTCATAGACGATTACATGTAATTATCTTTTATATGTCTTAATAGTGTAAAAACGTCACCATAGTGTAAAAAAGTTAACTAAAAGTCCAATAGATCTGTTAGTCAATTGCAAGTGATTTGTCTTCAAATGTACTTTCTCTGTTAGGTTATTAAGGTGGTCGATATGAATTTTACAGGATAGAAGAGAACTTGATAAGCAATGCGGAAATAGCCAAAGGAAACAGAAATTAATCAAGAACTTGAAAATATCCTAAAATCTGATGCAATTGACAAAAGTACGATGTGGATTGTAATTAAAAATTAAAAAAAAAAAGGGATTTGCATCTATACCCGCTTTTTGGGTCACGTTTTAACTTGTGACCGCTTTGCGAAAAAAATTGCAAGTGTACCCACTTTTTCGCGTAACTTCAGCATACGGGGCTGAAGTAGCAAAGACAATCACGCAAAACTTCAGCATTCTAGTAAACGGGCCTAATGTAGCAAAGACAGTGCTGAAGTTTTTTTGTCCTGGATAAGATGCTGAAGTTATTTGGTTCATTTGTAAAAATTTCAGCACTAAAATAGCTGAAGTTTTTTTGTCCTGGATTCATTAGTTTTGTCATAAAGCTTTTTCAAAAACTTCAGCAGAAAATGCTGAAGTTATTTAGTTCATTTGTAAGCTGGAGTTTTTTTTGTCCGGATAAGCTTTTTTAAAAACTTCAGCAGAAGATGCTGAAGTTATTTAGTTCATTTGTAAAAACTTTAACACTATATAAGCTGAAGTTGAATCCATAAGATCATAAGCAAAAACTTGAATCCCAGTATTTCCAAGTGAAGCAGCAACCAGCTCAAGATGAAAAAGGAGCTTCATTTCAATCCATGTAACTAAACGGAGTTTATTCCATAGTGGTATTTCAGTGTTTAAAAGTACAGCTTCAAGTTCATTACTTGATTCAAAATTATGGGTTTCAGATAATTGAGGTGACAAATTAGAATTTTCATTGTTTTCCAAAAATGGCTGGTAAATGTTGTTTTTAGAAGAATCCATGGATTCCAGTGAGTGGAAAGTGGAAAGAGAAAGTTGAAAAGAATGCAAAGAGAAAGTTCATTTGGAAATACTGGGATTTAAAAAAATAAGTATAGGTTAAAAGGGGCCCCAAATACGGCGCCTCGTGCAATTTTTACAAAAAAAAAACTAGTATGCAGTTTTTAGTTAGATTTTACTTCTAAAATTTCAGCTCAAATTTATTTCTCGGAAGCAGATGGAGCTTTTAAACAATTAATGAGTTAAATGGAACTTAATATTTTCGATATGAAATATAAATCTATACGTGAAAGAATTAAAAAAAAGTAAAATACTGGATCATCCGCCAAAAATAGAAATATCCAGTTGCAGTAAATATATGTCTAGTTTCATGAATTTTGATAAAAATAGTATACGAAAATGTTATCTGATCATACACAAGACAAGAAGATACATAAGTACTTTTATTTTTTCCTTATAATTACACATATATTACATATGGAGAAACTACATCCAGAACTGATCAAACAAAAATATAAACTTACATAGTTACAAGGATTAGTATCTTACAGTACTATATATATAGCTGCAAACATATATAGTAACACATATATGTATTAGTACTAGGGTTTCAAGTTCATATTCATAACTCATATTAGGGTTTCCACAAACCCTAACAATTTTGAAATCACGTGATCATCAGTTGGGAATGAGCTTGAAAGGAGGTTTGGATAAAGCAGGAGTTGGATCATATCTCCCATAATCCTTTGTGTTCACCTTAAGCAGCCTTTCATGGATTTTACTCACCTCATCATCATGGCGTAATTGCTGCTCCTGTTCCATGAAAATCTTGGCATGATCAGAGGCGGATCCAGGATTTTAATTATAAAGATTCAAGGTTCCGATTTCAACTGATACCAATCACCTTGTTTGAGTTGTGGGTTCATGGCTCAAAATTTTAAGCAAATTTAGTGACTTTTATCCTGAAGATCCATGTCTGGGATAGAAGCAGTGGCGGAGCCACCTTATAGGAAGGTGTGTCAAATGACACCCCTTGCAGAAAAAATATACTGTGTAGGTAGGTAAAATAAATAAATTATATGTATATATACTATGTATTGAATCCCCTTAATTTCCTGGTATATTTTTATATATTTTGACATCTTTTAATGAAAATTGTGGCTCCGCCACTAGATAGAAGCAATGGATTCAATTGACCCATTGCTGAAGTATTAGATCCGCCCCTGGGCGTGATGTATAACATTCTAAGGCTGGAAAATTTAATGAGAAAAAAAAAAGAGGAACATGATTTTTTTTTTTTTTGTGTGTGTATGTGTGTGTATAGTGTATAAAATTTCTCCAGCTTATGTTAGAGATGAAGGAATAACATTTACACAGAAAACCCTAAGTCAAATCTTTTGTCAAAAGAAAAGCGCCGGACATGTAGTACTTTCAATTTCTTGATTAATATTGCTCATTAGGAGTATTTCTTATTGCTCTTTATTTGTGTCCAGAAAATACAATAAATTGGTGAGTAAATTAAATACAAACCTCATGAATTGCACCTAGCTTTTCCTGCTCAAAGTTGCTCAAAGACCTCGATCGTCGACCTGCATGAAATTTGGGCCTTAATTTTCTTGCATGAGGAAAAGATAGGAAAAAAAGAAAAAAGTTCACCGCCATGAGAGAGTTGTGACTAATGATCACATGGCTAGCTAGGACTTTAACAAAAATACAAAATTATTGTACTCTCAGACAAAAAATAGTGAAATTAATGTCACTCGCTCCCGTTGAATTATAACGAGAAATGTAAAATCTAAATGGTAAATATTAATGAAAGTTGAGAACTTAGAAGAGAGTTCACTGCATGCAGGAGTTTTGCCTTTGACGACTTAGGCTTTATTATTTGTAGTAGCAATTAATAAATATATTCTTTTTTTCCTTTGTATACCATCAAGATTCTAGGCCATATGATAGAAAAACAACAAGGAAAAAAGAAAAGACAAGAAATTAAAGAGTGTAAAAGAAGGGCTATATTTCGTACTTTTCTTGTTGATTCTAAGCAAGAAGACCTAAGTACTGATCCTTAATTAATTAAGGCATTAATTAATGTTAAGTCCGATTATTTGCTTCCTAAAATAAACTTACCTGCAAATGAAGGTGACAAAAGAGATGCAGATATGAGAAGGAAGAAGAAACCAATTTTCTTGATTAGCATGATACCACCCATTATCTCTAAACTTCAGATTTTTTTTAATTAATCTGCAATTCACTCTTTTTCTCTGGCACTCTTTTATCTTTCTATGAAAAGAAGTGGAAGTAATGATGTTTTACTTTCTCTACATTGCATCAGAGAACATTTAAATATATAGTACTAGTATTTTAATTTGCTTTGAAGTACAGTGCCATGCTTTGGATAGAATTGAAGACAAATATTTTATTGTAAAGAATTTAATCCTTATTATGCTTTTATTTTAAAATTGTTAAAATCAAAAAGGTGAGAGACACCACTTTTCTTTTGTTGGGACGCTATAAGTCTAAAGAGTTAGTGGATTAATAGTTTAATGCATCATTTAATTAACTCCACAAGAGGGAGTATGGACCCTTAATTAAGTTTCACCATATCCCACTTTGTTTTTAGTGTTAAATTTCACATTGTAAATTAATTTCAACATTCTTTGCACATTGGCCTTTAAGACCAGCTCCACAATATCTTCCCTCAATTTTTATATTTTGATTTTGCACAGCACACCCTCCTCTGCTCCACCTCTCGTTAAGAATTAGTAATAATTAGAGGGAAAAAAAGAAAACAAAAAATAGGATTTTACCAATAGAAACTACGTAATATTTTTTTTCCTGAAAGAATTAGTCGTATTAGAGCAATAGTTGTTTACCATTATAGCACTATATTACAAACTATGTCGATATTTCTTATCAACCCCTATATCGTATACACAATTCTTTTTTCTTTTAGCATTGTTGTTCGGACAGTTTGTATGCAATTCAACAAGTTCATCATCGGATATCTGATTGCTTTCATCAGTATATATATATATATATATATATATATATAACTTTATTTATCAAGGCTTAAACATATGAAATGACTTTGATCATGCTTCTTTTTGGATATAAATAAGAAAGAGAATATTCAATTACTCTAAGTTGAGGTAGTGAAAATAATTATCTGTACTTTATCAAAAGCTAGAATTATGTGTAAATTTGTCTATTATTAACTAGATTGGTACAAGTACGAGGGAGAGCGAAAGAAATTAAACCACCTTGAAATAGTAGTAACCACAAAGCTCGATGAATAGATGAATAGTAGGGGTCTTTATAGGGGGACTTAATTCTGTGTGTTTAAGAGATATTTTAAAAAAAAGCTTTTTCAGATAAATTAGTTGAGCATAAAATAGCTTTTTGGGGATTAGTGCTTTCAATTATCCAATACGACAAAGACAACCCACCAAATGCCATATTGAAATTCGAAAGGACAGTGGTGGAAGCTGATATAGTTAAGCACTATGCTCTCCTTATCAATTTGATATTAGCATATTATTGGTAGATAAATTCTTTCGATTTGTTAATTTAAATTTTAAAGGGAAAACAAACCACCAAAAATTATGTGAAGTAGTAAGTACTCATTCGTCCTTAATTAAAAATTGCAAGTTTAAGTCCTGAATATAAAGTCGTCTTTGATAGGGAGCGCTTTACTCTTAAAATGAGACTTTCTAACACGAATTCGATTAATTAGATCCTAAAACAAATACCGAACACCAAGTAGGGAAAAAGGGACAAACAAAGCTATTTGCTCCTCCTACCTGCATGGTTAGCAACTTGTCAATTGGCTATTTCATTGTACAGAATAATAAATCTAAATAAATGGTGCTCGAGAAGTATCTAAGTTTGCTCAGTGAACATTATTGTCTAGGCAATTTTAAAATTAAATCTTAAATCTTTTTAAAGATTAATTTCATTTTAAAATTGCTGGGACAATGACACTCACTGAGAAAAAAAAGTCAGATATTTTTCCAAGCACCATTAATTTGGAACTATTATTCTCTGTTCAATATATATAATAGCCAATTTACAATTTTGTTCCATTAATTTAACTTAAACGCTCCGTGTTTTATTTGTTTAACATTCTTTTAAACCCGGTTCATTTAAGAAAGAATGGCGTAGGATCTCTACAATTTTTCCACTTCGACATGTTTTTTTTTTCAAGTCCTATGGGATGCAAAACAAGTGTAAAGGTACTTTTGGTACTTTATGCATGCTAAATTTATGTGTCAGTTTTTTTTATTTGTTAAGCACTCAAATATTAACAAATATATTAGACGAAAAGAGTACGTAACGTCTTCGTAATCTTAAACAATGAATTGAGGAGGATAATAAAAGAACTAGGAGAGTTAATGAATTAGACTTAAATGTGATTAAAATATAAATTTTCTCCTTAATAACGAAGACCTTTTGCCTATAGTGTGGACAGATGTAAAGTAGGGGTGGACATAGTTTGGGCAAATCCGAAATAACAAACCGAAATCCGAATTTCTTGATAATGTCAGTAGTAATAAGTCCAATATCTTGTCCATTGGATATTATCTCATATTTGGACATAGTTTTACTATTGCTACTTCCAATTGGCCTTATTAATATCTTTATTGTATTTTTTTGATAATGTGTGCATTACTTGAATACTTTATTTGGATGAAGCAGTGAGAATGAAGAACTTTTTAGGTAACTTAACATGAAAAGATATTCATTTTTTAAGAAGAAGAAACATTTAAACTTATAGGCTCAAAACTGAAATCCGAAATATTCAATCCGATTAATCCAAAATCAAATTTAAAAAATCCGATCCAAGCAAAGCTTTTTTGGATTGGATTTGAATTGTCAATTATTTAATCTGAAAACTGTATATCCAAATCGAAAATTTCATATTCAATCTGAACTGCCCGAACCCCCACCCCTAACATAAAGGTTGAGTACATTATTCTCAAATTAACCAATTTTCCTCTCTTCTAAACTTCCAATAACTATCCCTGCGCTCAATGGTCTAACTAGATGACAGTTAGATTGTTATATTATAGGCATCGTTAAATGAACTAACTTCAGCTAAATTTCCTAAAATACAAGCATATTCGAGTTATAGAATTAATAATATAATAACAGAGACCAAAGAAAATATTATTTAAGAACTCGAAAAATTATAATAAGCTTCTGTAAGAGGAGAAGACCCATGAAGATTCCTGAGCAGTTTAACGGATAAATTAAGTTGTCGAGACAATATTTTTCTACAAAATTTCTTGTATCACGAAACTTATTCAATCTATCGAAAATGTACTTTAAATTTTCATCAATTTCGACCTACCTTCGTTTATATTACGTTTAAATTACAGTGGTCTCCTAACGCTACAGTCAATTGATGAGACTTTCCTGTCAATTATACTTTAAAATTAGGAAAATCAATTGCTCCCTTCTTCAGCTTGTAACCATTTGAAACTCACCCTCTACCTCATCACTAACACTCACTTCCAACCCTCACCTTTTTCTTTTCCATTTTCTTAATTTTAAATATAAGTGCGCAACTTTGACTTTTAACAATAATTAACAATTTAACAAGAAATATTATCCCTTTATCCAACTATAAAAGTTAATGGGGTCCAAAATATTTCTATGTACTACAAAGTCAAAAGCAATTCATGAAGACCTATAACCCGTTTGGCCAAGCTACAAAAATCAGCTTATTTTGAGAAGTGTTTTTTTTTTAAAAGTGCTTTTCTCAAAAGTACTTTTGGTGAAAAGCAGTTTGTGTTTCGCTAATTAGTTTGAAGAACACTTCTGAACAGCAATTAGTGTTTGGCCAAGCTTTAAAAAACTGCTTCTAAGTGTATTTTTCTCAAAAGTGCTTCTCAAAAAAGTGTTTTTGGAGAGAAGCTACTTTTTTCTGCTTTTCCAAAACTGCTTCTGCTTCTCCTCAAAAGCACTTTTTTTGGTCAAAAGTGCTTTTGACAACAAAAAAAAAGCACTTTTGACCAAAAAGAAGCTTGGCCAAACAGGCTACTAGTCTCGTCTGTTATTTGCTTGTTTGGCTTTTTGACTTATTACTCGGTTTATCAAATCTTTGGATCCGAGGTATCATCAGAAAGAGGTAACCAACAAATAATGCAACTACGGGGATCTCATCTCATCATAAATTTCTTTAAAAAAATTTCCACCAAGAAAGTGTACTAGAAATTGAACATCTAACGTTAAAAAGAAAGAAAAAGGAAGTGTGCAACAAGGTCAAAATATGCACTCAAGAAAATGTAGCTTGAGAGTTGAGACTAAGGCCAAGCAACTAACTACAGCATGATTGGACTTATATCCATCTCACCATACCAACTCATTGAAATGCAAATAGGGATCTGAAATAATCCAAATATTCACGAAGAATTAAGAGATATTGTATATACCCAAATGAAAATTGATCCGAGACTTTCCACAAATTGAGATTTGGCTGTAGAAGAATCGACTGGTATTCGAAGAAGAACAAGGGGGATACAAAAAAGTAACAAGAAATGTGCACCAAATTGAACAAGTCTCAAGCACAGATACACTGTTATAAGTATCTACACACAAAAAAAATAGAGTGAAAAATATTAGCATCATTTCGAGGATGTACCACCATCTACCATGTCTGTGTTTTCACTGCGCAAACTGCTCTCTCTTCTGTACATTGGTTTTGCACCCTGAGAGAGCAAACGAAGAGTGTCCACATTACCATGAAAAAATCTCAAAAATTGATTGGAAATATTTGTTGATGAAGGAAAGATAAGAAACAATCATCCCGAAACAACAAATGACCAAAGGTTTCTGTTCCATTTTTTCAATCACCCAAATGGTTATTGATTTTTAGTTTTGTCTGTCATTATTGGTCATTCATCAAGATTTTTTCAATGGCCACAACCATTACAAGGAAACTACAATTTTGATCATTTTAAAGAAAATTCTAATGATTTTTTTTCCTGGGATGAAGGCATACAAGTTATGAACAGAAAGTTTAAAGCAATCCAGTCGTCCTGCAATGTTCAAGAAAACATCTTTGATCCACACTCACCTGAAAAATTGTCCCCAGCTTTTTCATAGCCCTAGCGCGTAGCCTGAGAACATCCCTAGGAACATTGGGCTCTTTAAGGACCTACACAAAAAACAAAATTCATTAATATGTAGAGGCTCCTCATTTATATGTAAATATTATTCTATTTGGTGCTATAAGTTAGAGATCATTCAGTATATAGAAAGTCCAAAAGATGGTTCCTTTAAACACCCCCNCCCAAACGAGACAAGGACACTTAAGCAACAAC